AAACTGTCTTATCGCCAAGCCCCGTTTACATTAACGTCACAAAGTTACAAGTTAAAAACTAAAAGGTTAAAAATTGAAGTACAATACAATATTAGTTCGACAAATATAAGACACAAGTAATAAATCGAATAAATGTTATTTGTCTGTTCAAAATTAATAGTATATATATTTTTTATTTTAATAAGAAATAAATAAGATACACAAGACAATAGTAAATGAGTAGTGATGACTTTTTCAGGTTTAAGTATTTTAGGTGATTTTAGAAGAAATCTTTAAAATCGAAAGTTTTTTCTAATAGAAAACGTTTAGATTCTCTTTTGAATTGTTCTAAGGAGATGCCTCGAAGAATTTTATTTTTAATTATACTTTTTAAAAAACCTTTCCATATAAATGGTCCCCGGTATTGAATTTGAAATGAATTGAGTTTTAAATAAGATCTTGGAATAACAAAATTATCAGGTGAAAATTTAGTGGGATATTTATGAGGTATTTCGGTAAAGTAAGACTGAAATATATTAGGAGATAACGCATGTTTTGTTTTAAACGTAAATAGCATAACTTGGCATATATTAATTTTGTAAATATTAAGCACATTAAGTTTCTTTAAATGAGATTCACCATTAACAGTTCTGTTAACGCCAAAAATAATCCTACAAGCATGTTTTTGTTTGCTATAAATTTTTTTGAGCTTCCCATAATTGGTACTTGCCCATGCAAGATTACAATAGGAAAGATAACTATGAATAAATGAGAAATATATAATTTTTAAAGATTCCGTATTAAGAAAAGGTTCAACTTTAAATAGCATTGAAATATTTTTGGAGATTTTATTTTCAATAGATCTAATATGATATTTCCATGATATATTTTCATCTTTAATATATATATATATATATATATATATATATATATATATATATATATATATATATATATATATATATATATATATATATATATATATATATATACTTAAAAATATAAATATATACAAAAATATATACAAATATATATATATATATATATATATATATATATATATATGTATATATATATATATATATATATATATATATATATATTTATTTATTTAAAAATACATATAGTGAATAAAGAATATATAGTATAAAAAAAAATAAAAATAGTCGCCAATAGTCAAAAAAAGAAAATATTTAATAATACAAATCTATCAGAAAAAAGATTATATATATATATATGTATATATATATATATATATATATATATATATATATATATATATATATATATATATATATATATATATATATATATATATATATATATATATATATATATATATATATATATATATATATATATAAATTAGTAGAAAATCACTTAGCAAAATTTTATCTCATTTAACACTGTGTTTCATCAATAAAGACTCATCAGAAAATTTTTTTCTGATGAGTCTTTATCAGTGTTAAAAGAGAAAAAATTTTGTTAAGTGATTTTCTACTAATTTGTAATTGCTCTGTTCTTTTAAGAACATTGAGCACTCTTTTTGTAGAATACATTTTAAATTGTTTAAATATATATATATATATATATATATATATATATATATATATATATATATATATATATATATATATATATATATATATATATATATATATATATATATATATATACATATATATATTTCATATATATATATATATAAAATTTAATCCATAAAAATAAAAATTAATCCGTATGATTTTAAAATGTAAATTTTTGTTTGACACTGAAATGAATTTAATGATTTTGCCATATTCAAGTTGCCTTTCAGAAAAGAGTTCCATAGCTTAGGTCCTCTATAAGCTATACTATATTCTGTGTATTTGTTTACTTTGTTAGGTAATTTATATGTGTTACTTTGATTTATTTTTAAGAAATACTTCTCATTTAGATTTTTATTAAATTTACTTATAAAGATTTCAGGAGTTACATTATTGGTATATTAATACATAAAGTTTTGGAGTTAGTAAATATTTATCTGTTATATGTTCATCATTTTCATGTCATTAAAGTTTTAGTGTGGTCACTCTTTTGTTGTTGTATATAATTCTACTAGCATGTTTTTGTAAGCAAAAAAAATTTTTAAGTTTTATTGGTTGACAACTTGTCCACGTAATATTTGCATAAGTAATGTAACAATGAATTAAGCTGAAGTACTTAAGACTATAAGAACTTATGTATGGGCAAATTCGATACATAATACACATTTACTAAGGACTTGTGGATGTAAACAATCGTAGTTGGTTGACTTTTTTTTTCATAAAGATGGTTGAGGCACTTTTGTACTATATTGATAGAAAAACTGATTGAAAATAGTTATTCAACAGTGAGCATATATTGTCTATACTGGTAGTAGTGTTGCTATTAGCTGTTTTTAACTATGTAATTGTGTCCCTGACGTTCTGTTTGCTTTAAACATGCCCATATAAGCGTTTAGGGCTGCTTTTGGACTTTCTAGCGAGTTTTATTTTGTAATTTATGCGTATCGCAACATGCATTAATGTACTTGTCTCAAGAGGCGCGTTTAGCCTAGACCGCCTTAATAAGATCTGGTGTAACCCATTGCTTCTGTTCTCAGTGAAAAAAGTTGTTGTTGATGGGATGTATAGTTTGATGGCTTTATTATACATGTATACTAGAAGCTAGTAGTTATTGTTTGCATGTAGATCAGTGAATTCTGTTTCTCAATCAACAGCTGCAATGTGTGAGAATATTGCTGCGTAGTTTGCTTGGCTTTAAATAAAGCGAGGTCGTAGCGGCGAAGTAGGCAAGTTGTCTACAAGGTCTACAACAGTGAGTTAACCTTTTGTCAAAAGAATTATTTTGTTTAATGAAAAGAGCACAGTCTGGCTCATTGTTTATGATCAGATCAAGTGCGTTACTTTGCTGACGTGTCTACTATTACGGTACGTTGAGAATGTGACAAGCTTAGTTAGGTGATGTTTAATGTTTATAAAGGCACTTTTGGAACCTGATATTGCCTTGACGCTCATTTCTTACATGAGCAACTGTTGCAATGTCACCGTTAACTTCGATAGAATCATAAGATCGATCGATGGGATCACTGAGTAAAAACCTAATTATCAAAGTCGTAAGGACGATATAAGCAGCTGAGGAGAAGAGATTCTTCACCGATTTTTATTTTTCGCCCGATTTGTTTAATTGATGTTGAGTTTAGCTGAATAGAATTATCTTCGTTGACTTTGATATCGTTTTTTGTATTAATTGCAACTCCGCCGCCCCTCATTGTCTCTGTCTTTATTTAATAATTTAATAACTTAATAGAATTAATAATTTATTACAAAATTCAAAAAAATTTTCAGAGGAAAACTTTGTTGTTTCAAAAAGTAATTAAAAAGAGTTTTCATCAAATTTAGTATCGTCGACATTTAAATGGAAAATTTTTATAAAAAAGTTCAATAATGATAACGACCACTAGCCCCTGGAAAAATATATTCCGAACCTAAAGGGTTTTTCATATGAATAAAAATCATCCTACTTAACCGGGGTAGAAAAACTTCCGTGATCTTGCCTCTCCTTTAAAACTCAAACAATTTTAACATTGCGTTCATATGTAAAATTATTCACCCCGCCTAGGCAAGATCTCACCTATGAACTACCGGGGTGCAGGTTAGGCTGGGTGAAAATTCTTCACATGTACTCAATCCGAAAACCATCCGAAAAACCATGGCTTTGTAATAGTATTTGCTTGATTTTTAAATTACAGTTGTTTGACCATGTAAGCTTATAAAAATTCAAAATTAAATATCATATATATCATAAATAATGTATAATATTTAAATAAATATAAATAATTTATAATATATAAAATAAATATAAATAATTTATAATTAACTAACAAAAAAAAAACTTTTGACTTCAAAACGTCATAGACATATTTTGTATTGAAGTTTTTCAAGATATTTGTTTTGTAAAATACTAAATATTGTTAAACTTTTATTATGCATATAGCAAAAGTGAAAAGCTATAAAATAGTTTGTTATAAATCGTAATTATAGCTTTTATTGAACTTTCGTTTTTAGTTTTTAATTTAAAAATTGAAATGAATGGTTCTTTGTATACGTAATCACGTGGTCTTAAAAACGTCCAGGTGTTTTTTTCGTTAAGAATCTGAACTGAAACTTATCCCGCCTATCCGAGTACCTCGGTTAGGCGGGATGTTTTTTCTTTATATGATCAGCTCTTTAAAGATTCATTGTAAACTATTCATGACTTCAAATTAGTAATTCCAATATAACGGTTTTTCTTCTTTTTATAAAGTATAACTTTTGAAACAACTCAGTAAATTAATATTTATTGATATTTTATTCATTGATATACAAGATGCAGAAATATCTTGTATATCAATGAATAAAAATCATAAATATATTTATGATCTTTATATATTATTGTAATTATATAGAGAATATAGAGATATATATTTATCGGAGTAATTATATGTTTATATTCTATTGTTGAACTCCAATCAAGTTGGGTATTTATATCTTATTTTTTGGATTTTATGCTTATGATGTTTATTTTGTATACATCTATACAGTCAATCCGTTAATTTCAATTGGTTACTTTTACCATTATTGTTTTGTTTCGGAATGGTTACTTTTACCATCAATCTGTCATTTTGTATTGCTTGCCTGTAATTATATTGTAGTTGTGAGATATACTTCAAAACATAAAAAATAACTTAAAAAAATCATACTTCATTAGAACAAATTTTTAATATGTTATAAATAAACCCCTTAAAATAGAAGAAAACAAAAATGGTCATGGTAACTATCTCTAAATGTATCTTATACAGCGTTTATTTATTTATAAGTGTGTATGTGTGTGTATATGAAAAATATCTTTTTCTTGCTGCGACAAATTTTTTTTCTGTATTCTTATAGTAAAAAAAAAAGCAACATTGATTGAAAGAATATTTTGATTTATCCTTTTTATAACGTTGTTGATATTTTTAGGTTTATGACTCAATTGGTCGCCCTTTACTTGAAGGTGTTATAATGGGTTACAACGCTGCATTGTTTGCATATGGTCAAACTGGGAGCGGTTAGATTTATTAAATAGTTATAATTTTTAATAAATTCTCTTAAACCTTTATTGTATCTGTAATGAAATGTTGTCATTTGTTTATTCTGACAGGTTAGATAATGCAAATAACAATAAAGACATAATTAAAAAATCATCTCCCATATCCTTTTTAAAAGAGTTTTTCAATAAACAAGTTTATGATTTGGCAAGCAATTTATTTACATTAGTAAGTGAGGCTTCTCCATTGCGATATGAAACAGCAAACTTCCTCGTTATATTTTATTTCACATTCCTTGATACCCATTTATAAAAAAGTAATCGAGCTGATTTTTCTGTGTTTTGCTTCCAACAACCAACGCAAAAACCCACACTACACTAATAAAAACAGCAATGCACAAAATTTTTAAAATTATTCATAAACTTTATTCACGCATAATGTGTACGCATATAACATATCACATATAACGCAGCACACAAAAGGTATCATATATAAAACATAGCATATTACATATTACAAATAATATACCACACATGACATATCACATACAACACATAACATATGACATATAACATATCACACATAACACAACACATAAAAATCAACACAAATAACACTGCTCCAATTTTTCTGAAAAGTTATTTATGTGCTTTTTAGGAAAAACTTATACCCTAATGTCTAAGGATGGATTTATAGCTCACATGGTTTGTGGTTTATTCAATAAAATTAAAAGTGACACATTCAATGAGTACAAGGTTATTTTTGATTTTAATGTTTGCAGTGTTTGAAACTTTTTTCAATTATTACAACTTGCAAAACGCTTTAAATTGCTTTTTACGTATTTCAAGAAAAATCTTATAATAAAAAAAAGCAGAAACTCTTGGTGAAACGTTTTTAAAACTAATTATTTTAATTTTATAATTAATGATACTTTCTTCGTGATATTTAAAAAATATTTGTTTAATAATGTTTATAGGCATCTAGGCTAAGCTTATTTTGTAAAAAACTCAACTTGTGAATTTTTTTAATTTAAGGCATTTTGAAATAAATATTTAACATTTTATTCAAACAGTAAATTAATAGTTTTTTATAATTTCGTCTTTACGTGAAACTTTTTTTTTTTAGGTGACATTTTCATATTTTCAACTTTATAAGGAACGCTTTTATGATTTGCTTAATCCTGAACAGAAAACTCATTCAATTAGAGAAAACCCTCAAGAAGGTTCTTTTTTGTTGATTTATTTCAAAGTTATCATTTTTTGATAGACAAACATATATTTGAAATAAACAAATAATTCTTTGAAGTTCTTTTTATTAAAAAAGAATTTTACATTTATACTAAACAATTAATTAAATAAAATTTTGTTTTAAAAGTGTATAAGTATATTCTTTGTTAAAAAAAAATAAAAAAAATTTTAAATTATATAATAACATAAATTAGTAAAGAAATTACAGTATATATACTAATAATAATAATAATAATAATAATAATAATAATAATAATAATAATAATAATAATAATAATAATAATAATAATAATAATAATAATAATAATAATAACAATAATAATAATAATAATAATAATAATAATAATAATATAATAATATATATATATATATATATATATATATATATATATATATATATATATATATATATATATATATATATATATATATATATATTAGTATATTTACTATGGATTTTAGTTATCCACTAATATATGTCTTGTTTGATAAAAATTTGCTTGGTAAATTTGTATCAAATAAAACAAACAGTTGTGGACCAAGAACCAAGTTCAAGCAAAAAACAATTCAATCAGATATCACACCTACTTTGAAGGTATCTTGTCTAATTCTCATTGTAATCGTCTAGTCAACTACTTCTGCATTTATTGATATGGCATAAGCTAGTGAGATTTTTTAAATGATTTTTCAAAGTCTGTATATATCATACTGGCGGGAAACTCTAGGTACATGTATTATGTTAATATTCGAACGTACTGCTGTTACTAACACTCTGTTAAACTGCCACTTTTTAATCTTTTGCCTACTGCATAATTATCTACTAACTGCAGTTTGTAGATAATTATGCAGATTTTTGCTCTTTGAATTTCAAGTCTGCGATAAAATCCGTGCATATTATAAATGGAAATTGATAGTTTGTAGAATTGTGGGTTCAGTTTGATCGGTTGAATCAAAGGCTCTAAAACTCTTCTTTCTTTAAGCATTCTTACCCCAAGTTATTAAAGTCTTTCTTATTCTTCTCTGATTTTGTAACACTTTGTTTACCTTAGCCACATTTTTTTCATAACAAAAGTTTTTTCTAATGTCAGTGTTTTGAGCAGATTATGACCTAACCAATTAAGCACTTTTTGCCTGATAGGACTTTTACAGGAATCAGTAATAGCGTATGTTTAGCTCATTAAGCATAATCCTTTTATTATCTAATTAACTGGATCTTGTTTAAACGATACAACTTTTGAACGATACAAATCACTTTCCTTAGCGCTCATACTTTCTTTTTTCTTGGTGTATAACAATAGAGAGATATTATCTGGTTTAAGATGACGACATATTAAATTGGTTTTTTAAAGTAAAATTTTATAAAGTGTAAAATTATCATTTTAAATTCATTTAAGAATTTGCTGTACAGATCTTCAGTCTTAAACAAATAGTTTTAAATTTTTGTATTATCTTCAACATTAGCACACCATGCTAAGTTCACTAAAAAATCATTTTATGGAAGAATTATTTAGTCCTTATGAGTACATTTAAAGGTGTTTTAGAAATCGTTCAATTTTTTCCAAGCCAGATTTTTGCGTATTAATAGGTGGATTTTGGATTTTTAGCATTCGAAATTAACTTCTGAGCACGGTATAAACTCAAAACTTTTATATCTTCATGATGAAATAAAATGACAAAAATTACGTCAATTGGAACTCGGGGGAAAATACCTCAATATTTTTTCCCTTTTTTAATTTTAATTTTTGAACGCTAAGAGATTGTTGTATGAAACTTAAATGTAATGATACCTAGGTGTAGAATATTAGAGACAATAAATTTTCTACAGATTTAAGTTAAAAATTCTATATAAGTTTGTAGAAATCTTATCTTAGCATTTTGAGTACTTTAGAAGAGATGTTTTTTGACACTTTTACAAAAATATCCCAATACATTTGCCCTCTTGAAATCCATTTACAAAAAAAACTTTTTTAGAAAAAAAAAAATTATACAATCCTAAAGTAAATCAATATTCGTTAAAAGAAAATTAAATTTCGTTAGTTTTTTTTTGTGTGTTTTAGAGTTATGACCATGTAATAAATTAACCCTTCTCAAATTGAGGTTATTGTAAATTTTAAATGGTCACCGTTTCTAAACACCAAGATTTTGTTAATGAAATTTGAAATATATAAAATAGATTTGGTCTACTATAATGTAGTTTTTTTAGATGATACAACGTAGTTTTTTTTACCAAAATAATATTTTTATCAACGGGGAGCGAGAGGGAAAAGTCGTTGGGGTATTTTTGCGCCTAAGTTCCGATTGCCGTAATTTTTTGTAAAACATCATCATATGATTTCATCTTGAAGGTATAAAATTTTGAGTTTATGTCTTGCTTGGAAATTAACCATTTATAATCTGAAAAATCAAAAGGTTACCTTTTAAAACAATAAAAACATGGCTCAGAAAAAATTGAAACATTTTTAAAACACCTCTAAATGTATTCATAAGGATAAAAGATAGCTACAACTGTTCAACAACACCTACGGTGTAGTTCAAAATTATCCGTACACTTTTGTCCAAGATCAACTGAATTTTATTTTAACTACAGTAACATCTGTCCTATAACATTTGTAAATTCAATGACCCCTAGCAACATTTTTAGGAAATGTAACTACAATTGGGTAATCCAAGTCCAATATCATTTGGAAGAATTTCCTCGAAATGTAATTACATTTGCAAAAAAATCATATGTAACTGCATCTGGCTAAAATAATGCATTATTTGTTAATATTTTTTTCCGGATGTCATTACATCTTAAAAAAATGGTATATGTAATAACATCTGCTTAAAATAATGTATTACTATTTAATAATTTTTTATTTAAACAAATTTCAAATAAATAAAAGAATAATTTTTTTAAAGTTTTTTAATATTCAAGAGCATAAATGAAGATACAAAGTTGAGTCTAAATATCAAGTGTGCTTCTTAAGTGAAGTTCAGGATATCAAGTGTGCTTCTTAAGTGAAGTTCAGGATATCAAGTGTGCTTCTTAAGTGAAGTTCAGGTGTTTTGATGCTGATCAAAACACCTGAACTTCAAACACATATTTCTCTATTGATGCATCTGATAGAAAATATTTAAGTTATCATATATATATGTAAAACAAAAGTTTCAAATAATTTGTAATGTAAACAGATAAACCCACGCCAAACCATTATTCAGAGAAATTTGAACTTCTGATATTTATAAATTGATATTTATATTGATATTTCTGATATTTATAAATAAAACCTTCTTCAAACCTTAATGTTTATGCTTCAACTGCAAAATGTCTTTTTACCAAAATACTTTAAAAATCATTTTTCCATCTTTGATCAAAAATATCCAATTTTTTTTTATTATGTATTTTACCACTACACTAATAAATTTAAGAAAAATCCTATTTTTTACTATTTATACCTTTAAAAAGTTCAGAAAGTCTACAGCAGTCTTTTTAACTAACATTAATTATAATCCAATCAAAAAAATCCTCAAACCCAAAAACTTGCGCAGATCACTTGGCGCATAATTGAAATCAGGATGTTTAAACATGGTTTTAAATTTTAGAATTAGTGGGATTTCTGGTCCTGTTATTTTCTCATTTTTTATTGGTTTCAAAAAATGCATCGTTTTATGATGCCAAAATTGTAATTTTAGAAGATATTTATTCAAACCTTTTGATATCTTTACAAGTGAACCTTTCTGATTCAAATAATGCTTGTAATTGTATCACAACAAATCTTTGTAGTTGCATTGCACAAAAGCCCCCCTACTTTTTATTCAAGCATTTTTTTAGTAAATCTATACATAACACATGTTTATTAATCCTAACCATGAGAATGAAGATAGAGGAGAAATTAAATAGATGCTTTGGATTATCGATGTTTGCAAGAACTGCCAGTCTATCAATCTTAAATTTTTTTGCAGCATTTATTTCATAAGCGTTTTTTAATGAAAAACAAAATTTAAAAAAACTTCTGTTGCTTTTTAATTATCCTCTTTAGCTGCAGTTAACGTACTTTCATTTTACAATTTTTTCTTTTTAAAAGCTGTTGATTAAATGTAATATAAGTAATTAATAAGAATGTAATATATATATTTAAGATTTAAAGCTGGTATTATCTTTAGTGAGATAAGAATAATGCATAGTAAATACTCCTAAATGTAACTTTAGTGACATAACGACGAATTATTGAAAGCATACCGTTAGCTCGAGATTCTTGCTTAGTTCATCAATATGAAAATTTCATGAAAGATTACAATCAATTAATACACCAAGATATTCAATAACTTTTGAAGGATATAGCCGTTTATTATTAATTTTGATTTTGATTTCAACATTTTTAAAGAAATTGTTTTTTCTTGGAGATGAAAAAAAAATTAGTTCAGTTTTTTCGGTATTGAGACATATTAGGTTAGCATATAACTAGTGAACTACACCTTTTAAGATCTGAATTAACATTTTTAAAGAATAATACGATTTGTTGATGTGCAAGAGATTTGTATCATCAGCAAACAGATGGACTGAAGAGAAGTGAACAGAGTTGATTAGGTCGTTAACGTAGATTAAAAACAAATGAGAACCTAAAACAGAACCTTGAGGAACGCCACACAAAACTGATTTATAACTAGAATTAAAACCATTAATAATTACAAATTGTTTTCGATCTGAAAGACAAGATCGAAACCAGTCATTTACACTACCGCGAATTCCATAATGTTTTAATTTAAAAATCAAAATACTATGGTCAACGGTATCGAAAACTTTTTGTAAATCGATAAAAACACCACAAACGAAATGACGAGTATCAAGAGCTTTCCTGATTTTTTCCGTTATACTTATTAATGCATGGCAAGTAGAATGTTTTGATCGAAAACCAAATTTAAAATCATTTAAACAATTAAATGAGTTTACAAAAAAGTACACTCTAGAATACATAAGTTTCTCAAGTAGCTT